GTCCTAGACATCGGATCCCCGCATGCTCTAGCTCTTGCGAAAGACTGCGTCGACGAGTGCGCACGGGGACATGCGCGCTGCCGAGCCCTGCTAGCATCTCACGAGAGCGATGCTCTGCTCCCTACCCGTCTCATCGACTGCTCCGATCCCAGCCGTCCGCGTCTCGCCCCGACGGACGGCCTACGCGGCAAGTACTGCGCGCTCAGCTACGTCTGGGGCGAGCCGCAACCACACAGCACTCTCACCTCCAACGTGCACGTCTACACTGCGGGGATCAATCCTGCGAACCTACCGCAGACTATCCGCGACGCGATCTACGTCACGCACGAGCTCGGGATGCAATATCTGTGGGCGGACACGCTGTGCATAATACAGGACTCGGGCCAGGACAAGCGGCGCGAGCTCGCTCGCATGCATCGCATCTACCGCGATGCGCACCTCACCATCATCGCATCCGACGCGCGGAAGGTCAGCGAGGGCTTCCTGCAGGATCGACCGGACGCTGCCGTGCGTGACGTCGTCCTTCCCTTCGTTTGTCCCCCTGAGCGGGATTTAGCGGTGTCGGCTGCGGCGGACGGGCCGGGCGGGAGTGGAGGCGAGAATTGGCTGCCACGAGAAGATTAACGGACTCTGGCTGTGGAGTGCGTGTCTATAGGAGAGTGGGGCTGTGGAGGGGGTGTCTATAGGAGAGCGAGAGGGCGCCATAGGGAGCGGAGGACTCATGGGGACCACTTCTCTCAAATGTCGAAAATCGCGTTTTTACCGTGTAAGTCGCATCGTATTCCACTGTAGCATACTCGCACTGTACAAGGTCCAAGTCCCGTGGAGATGCGACAAAAACTACAAGCTACAGGTCGGGAACAACTCCCGGGGGAGCCTCAACTCGAACACCTCCCCGAGGCTCGCAGGACGTTAAGGTCGCGCGAATCCAGGGGCGCTGTATTGTAACACATCCAATGCACCGTGCGCACCCCTGCGCTCCGCGCGTCGCCGCGAAGTCGTACGGAAATCATGCAGCGGCCGGGGAGAGCTCGGGGGAGCAAAGGCCACCCGGCATCTCCCCTCACGCGCCGAGCAGGAGTCCTGGTGCGCCAAAATCGCGCGAGGACGTAGCCCTGCGTTGGGCAGTCCCATAGATGGCGTCTCGACAAGGCCGCGGCGTCACGTCGGCGCGAAATCGCGCAGGGGAGTGTCGGGCCTGGGGACGGGCTGCCGGTGCAAAGTCCGGCCACCGAGGCTGTCGCAGAGGTCGTTTCTCCCCAGAAGCTCCTCCCAAGGGTGGCACAGTATCGCACCGTGCTATACATGTCCTCTCGACGTGGCTGAGATGTCGCAAAGTGGCGGAGTGGGAAGCGGGATGCCGGGAGTGGCTGTTGCAGACGAGTCCTGCGTCCAGCGCCTCCCAGATGCCCTGAGTCGCTGCGACCCCGCGCGCGTGTCGCATAGCTTTGTACAGTACCATAGAGACCGCTCCGATGCGGCTGTGGCGTCGCGCTGGGGAACAATTGAGAGTGAAAGACCCGGGGGCCCCAAACTGGGTTGCAGAGGCCGTGGGATGCTATACTCGCGCACGCGGATAGGCGTAAGTCGTGCCGCGCGGGGGAGAGCAGCGAAACACGTTCGCATTGTCGCACCGTCGCGAAATGGAAAAGGGGAGCATCGAGCGGCCCAGAGATGGCTGTGGGAGCGAGATCTGGAGCTCCAGAGTGCCGCAGAGGTCGTATAGCCTAGGGACGGCGCACGTACATACCCAAGTGTCTGACCGTGCCGTACCATCCGTTCCGACGTGGCTGTGTGGTCGCGATGTGGCGGAATCGCGAGGGGAAGTGTTGAGAGCGCGGGGATTGGCTATTGGAGCCGAGTCCGGCGCTGAGCCGTTCGCAGGAGCCGTTGAGAGCCGGATTTGCGCGCACGTGTGGCTGAGAGTCGTGTCGTACAAGGGAGAGCGGCGGCAGGTGGCTGCGTGATCGCGCCGCCGTGAAATCGCGAGGGGGAACGTCGGCGGCCTCCAGGGACTGGCCGCGGAGGCAAAATCCGATGCTCGGGCGCGTTGTAGAGGGCACGCAGCGCCGAAAGCGCGTGTGCAGGGAGTCTCCTCCCGGGCCAACGCATAACTTCCTTCTGGACGAGGCGGCATCGCCGCGCTGTTGCGAAATCGAGAGGGGAAGAGCCTGGGACTGGCTCATGCTGTTGGAGCATTACGGAGCGCTTCGCGGGACACCCGGGACGCCGGAATCGCGCGTATCGTGCGTGGAGAGTCGTATAGTACTCAGCAGACGAGCGAGGCCGTGCTGCAGCGCGTCATCATCCCGGTACCGAGAAAGGAAGCAGGGAGAGTCTGAGGGCAGGCTGGGGACGCAAGTTCAGACCTTGAGCATCTTAGAGACGTTGCAGGCCGCACCAAGCGCGTACAAGGCTCGCAGAAAATCTGGGTTAACGTGTGAGAGTGACAAGACGTGGCGGAGTCGCCGCGTCGTCGCGAAATCGAGAGGAACTTGAAAGGCATCGAGAGCCACCCGGCGAGACTTGAAGCTTGAAGTCCCTCCGGGAGCTGCATCAGGGACGATCAGCAAGCTATATTTGCGAGAAAAACACGCGTCGTACCTTCGAAATACACGACAGGGTGTGCATACGGGATCCTGAGGCTGTACGCACAATGCGAGGCTGCCACGCAGCCGCGCGAGTCGAGGGGCGGACGAACGTCCAGAAAGACGCCCATGCGCCACCACAACTCGACCAACGCCAAGTCCCGCCACCGCGCGACTTACTCCCGCACCGCCACATTCTCGCCTCTTCTCCCGTCTCGCCTGTGCCTCAGAGTCCTCACGGTCTCGCCCTGTCTCTCGGCTGGTCTTGGCCGGCGGCTCTGCGAGTTCTCGAGATCCGACTCGACCATTTGCGGGATAGCCTGATGGCTGCGCGACGTCAAGAGCCCGTCGAGAGCTCGCTGCTCGTCGTCCAAGAGAGCCGCGTCAGCGGCTGTTCTCGCACTCCGGCCGTGCTGTCTCGTTGGGCCGTCCAGTGTGCTGGCTGCACAGGTGAGTAGAAAGTCTATACTTGGTAAACGGAACACTGCCAGCGCGTGCACACCTTCAGACGACACCGCACGACGTGTGTGTGATGGCGATGGGCCACGCCGCAGCTGCACAGGTACGTCAGAAAAGGTAGGGGCGTGCACGCGGCGAGTGCTTACCCTCATTCCAACATCCGCACGATAGCAGGACGCCCATGCCCCATCGGCCACCTCGGCCTCCGCGCGCGTGCAGGTATCTCGTGTCGCCCTTCACTTCCCGAATGCCCGATTTGTCAGCGTCTCGATTGGCTGAACTGGTCTTGCTCGCTGGTGCTGTCAGGCTTCTGGGGGACTCGTTAGACGATGGAAAAGCTGGGCCGCTTCTTTAACACGTACCTGGTGTTCTACGGCCGCTGTCTCACCGCTCTCTGCTACTCTGCTGGCCTAGGACATGGTGGGCAAGTCTGCGGCGGTCTCCAGTGATGTTCTTCATGCTGGCAACCAATGCTGCACGGTGCGCCCTCTTCCGCCGTCGTCCTGCGCTTCCGAATATGTGTGGTTGCACTTCTCTGCTCTAGGGAACTCTCTTCAGAACACTCTCTCGCCTTACCTCTCCAAACTGGAACTCACCTGTTGCAATCGACTCTGGCTGCTCGTTGCCGTCTTCTCTACACCTTGCAGCCCTCCGTAGCCCTTGACGATGTGCTCTAGCGGATTGTCTCACGACGAATGCCGCCGCCGCACACACGCCGTCCAAGCACGCCCCGGGCTGTGCCTACTTCGCCACGCAGCTGGTGCCCCTGTAGCTTCTCTCGTCGTCGTCTCGTCGTCGCCTAGGGCTTGCTGGTGCTGGGAGGCTCGACAACTCGTCTCACATGGATGCAAACCGAGTACTCACCTGGGAATGCACAAACCACGTGTCCCTTGCGCGCACCCGCAACACAGACTTGCGGAGTGATCGGAGTACAGCGGCCACAGATGGCGGCATTGGGGCGGGCGGCAGATTCAGAGGATGGCGCGGTGTGGAAAGGATGACGGCCCAGCATCGTCCGGCTGTGGAACGACAGCGGACGGCGAGCGGGAGTGAGACAATGGTGGTGGAAAGGTAGGCGGCGAGGTGGGTAGCGAGGTGGAGACACGGCGGAGCAAATGTCAATTTTGCCACGTAGGCTGCAGCACCATATCCCAAATCTATCAGCGGTTGTGTAAGGGTAACGTTATTCCTGAGATTCACTTCTTCCATTCTCAATCTTCCAGTTTCAGTGTTACGCGCCACGTAATAACAAATGATGTCCGCCACCTCTTGCTCGCTCTCCGCCTGAGTCACAGGTGCGTGGACAGGGTTGGCTGTGGAATATGGCTTGGCCAAGCAGATCCCCTGCTCGTCCTAGCCCTTTCCCCCAGCCAATCCTGTCTAGAGCTTTTGGAATATATTTGTTGCTCCCCGAAGATCCTTGTGCTCACAAACAATTCGATAGCGCCACAGTGGACCCCGTCCCTACAATAGAATGTCCACACAGGCTGCCAGACTGTGGCCAGAACGTCCTGCAGGTGGAATAGCATCTGTGCATGCTGTAGATATGCGGAAAGTGCGCCGCCCAGTATCGCACGGAACGAAGATCAAGTCGGGGACAGATTTTTGGGCAATGTGCCCGATTTGGCATGCGGTGTGGTTCGAAGCGCGCGCGGTGCAGCTCTGCGGTGAACGACGATGACAACGGGATCTCTGCCCACCAGGCTTGTCGCCATCCTTTCTATCATTGTGTACAATGATATCCAGTGCTCGTATAAAACGCCGTGCAACATTCTGAGAAACTCCGCACTGCTCGGCGCGATTCTGAGTCAGGCACGACACTGATGTGCTCGACTCTAACGCCGCTGGTGCCGAACCGACTTGAACCGTCTCGCTGCTGCACACTCCGCTCGACGGCCGCTCGATACACCATTTTCCTCGTTCAGCTCGATTACCATGCCAAATCGGTAATCAAGACGTCCATCAACTCATCCTCGCACCCAATCGACTGCTTCGCTGCTAGCGCTGCCGCAGGCCCTGGCTCGCTTCTCGACGCCCGCCGCATGGTTACCCTATCGTTCTGGCACGAGTTATTTGGATGCCCTTCTACCGACCCTATGAGGCGACCCGTTGCCATGCCGCTGAGCTGCGCCCGTAAGTCTCATGCGTCTTCTGTACCATTACCGCAGTGTTACTCGACCGAAAGCACTCGGCCCAGGGTCGTTAACAGTACAGTACTGGCTTCAAGACTCTATATGAGCACTTCACTCTTGTGCGCACAAAAAACCGGCGCAACATGCACACACACAGACAAAATCTCGACATCAGGAATGGAACTGTCAATCTGGGCTGTTCAGCGACATGGCCCCCTCGTTGCATCAGGAACAGCCGTCCCTGCCAGAAACGGCGCATGTCAATGATCCATCTCGCGAAGGGCCGGAAGCCGCGTATGCGAGACGGCGTGTCCGCACGGTTCCTGGTTCCTTCTTTGCGGGACCTCAATCGTGAGCGTTGCAATCGCGCAGCAAAATTACCAGGTACGTACTGCGGTTATGTGCGAGCTAAGCCTGCTAATCCTCCAGATTGCGGGTCTGTGGTACCAACGCGCTGCCGTTCCTCGCGCTTTGATATATCCAGCCTCTAGGATACCATCCACAAACGTGAAGCACCCCGCCGGTCATGTCGAGTGCACATCCTCGGTTGGCGTTGCGCTCGCGTCCCCCTGAGCCGTCGCAGGCAAATAACAACACTGAATATTCGCCATTAGCTTCCGCCGTGCAGACGGCGGCGTCGCATGGGCCGCGAACACAGAGCCCCGGGAGGTGCACAACGCGTAATTGTGGATCCTGCCGATTTGGAGAGGCGACTCACGGTTGATGTTCTTTCAGGGTTCCCTCAGGGCTGCGAAGAACCTGTTCACGCCATGCCAACACCTGTGCAGATTCGCGATGCCAAAGAGGCGCGGTCCTGGGCGGGGAACGGAGAACTCTGCCATGGACGAGCGCTCGGCACATGGAGATATGTAGTTTTCGGCGCCGATGTGTAGTGTTCGAATGGTCTGTACACTACATCATGTCACTAGTCGTATCCCCAAAACTTGAAGGGGGCCCACCTAGCAGCACAAGAACTCGACCGTCCTGCTAGGATGGCTGCAGTACAGGCATCCTCACGAGTGCGTCCCCTTCTGCCGCTGCTATCAGATCGGCATGAACGATCCACCGCGGGTTCGCTCTCCGCTCGCCTGCACGGTGAACCCTGAACATTCGCACCTGAGCCTGCCGCTAGCCACTCCGGGTCTCCAGCCACCGCCTCTCGATCTCACGTAAACGTACAGACTTCGGCATGCTCGCATCCATGCAATTAGAAGCTGATCTCGTAGGATTTCTGGGGCCCAATCCCAGGGGAGGACACTGCGGGCAAACGGGCAGGGACATCATATATTGACGGGCGTACATGCTACATACCATGGCATACTGCGATACATGGTGTGGCTGCTCGAATGCACCGGGGGCGTGTGCACAGAGGCCTATACGGCCGGGGATATTGCGGACGCACAAAAACGTTCGGGAGGGTGAAACGAATCTCCCGCAAGCTGCGCGGCACACCCGAGCGCGCACATCTTGGCTCGCGCATTTCGGTCCGTGCGCGGGACGACCTCGTGCATGCGAAAGTGCGGAGGACGGGTCGGGCCGTGTCTCAGATCAGTTGTGTTCCCGTCGTCGTGCGACGGCGTCGGGACGTCGCGGGGACGTAGACGAGCCATCCTGCTCGCCGCTTCGAGCGGACGGGGACGTCTGGGCGGTTGTGCCGCGGGCAAACGAGTGCCCTGGATTGTCTTGGTATCCTGGCGTGCGCCGAGGCGGTCAGCACGCGCGGAGACACGACGGGGGGCGCACCTGCCAGTACATCCCGAAGGGCGGCCCACTTCCCTGGGGTCGGAGCCGATCGGCGAGCGCGATGGGTTTCCGGCGTGAGACGTATTTTACGAGGGAAGCGCACACCGCCGTGGCGACGCGGACGCGCGTGTGGCGGATTGGAGCACCCAGGCTATCGGTGAGGGCCGCGGCTCGCGTCCGCGTCTGCGCCGCAAGCGACGCGAAGGGAGGCGAGCGGGCGAGGGCGCGGAGGGGCTGGGCAGGCGGAGCCAGCGGAGCGGGGTCTGTGCGTGTGAGATGGGGCCAGTTGGGGTCCAAATAAGCGACGCGGGCGCGGTATATAGACCGGGGGCGCACCGCTTGCTTGGCCCCATCCCCTCCATCCTCTTTCTCCTTCTCTGCTTGTCTCCCGCCCGCCCGCTCCTGCCCGCCGCCTACTCCGCGCTGTCCGGGTCGTCGTCGGTGAGCAGGTCAAGGGCGCGATGTGGTGCCGTCTTCGGTGAGCTCGTATGACTGTGCCGTGCACACGCGGACATGGCTAACGCTCTCCGACAGGTCCGAGGCGATCAGTACTCGCAGGGACACGGGGTACAGTGTGAGGTATGTTCCGCTGTGCTCCCCGTCGCGTAAATGCGTCCGCCAACGCGTCCGCACGCGCAACGCAGAGACGCGTACGCATGCGTGTACGAGCGCAGATCCGGTGAGCATCTGTCGTGTTCGGGTGGAGAAAGCGAGCCTGACGTACCCGACTCCTTGCAGGTCCGCGCAGACGGTGCCGGGTCATGTCGAATGAGAGAGCAAGGCGTGTGACGCGGCTCGCGTACTGATAACGAGCTCTGACAGGTGCGACGCAGTCAGGACTCGCAGGGACACGGTGTGGTACGCGAGGTATGCACAGTTTTTGCGCGACCCACATAGGCGCTACCTCTGACGTCGCCACTTGCCCAGAGTTCTGTGCGCCGTGTGGAGACGTCTGCGGAAGTGTGTCGAGCGCGAACACGATAAGTTCCGATTAGTTCCGCGTAGAGAGGGCCCTGCTGACTTACTTCGAGCCCAGGCTGACGGCGTGCGGTCGAACCGAGGTCGGTTGGTCTTGGAAGGGCGGCGACGAGCGGCGGGAAAGAAGAGGACGTCGGCGGGGTCGTACTGTACATGGCTACGTAGCCCTAAGTAGCTTGTAGGCACCGCAGTAGGCGATGATCGCGTTGTGCGCCGTCTAGCGGGGTTGCGAGCGCGCGTACGTGTCGGCCGGTGCAGATTTCTGGTAATGGGTGAGTTAGTACATTGTCTCGCGTAGATGCTTTCGCTGACGGACCTAAATCTAGGTCCACCGCGCGCCATTCGAAGGACTAGCGGCGATGCGAAGCGGTGGAGGTCGACGGGGGTGTGCCGGGTGCACAGACGGCGACAGGTCATGTAAGTCCTTTGCATTGCACTTTTAAACTAGTCGACTCACCCATTCACAGATTTCGCGAGCGATTTCAGGACCAATTGCGGAGGGAGAGCTGGATGGAGGCTGGCGTCGAGGTAGAGGGGCGATTAAGCGCCCAGGCGACGTCGTACTATATGCGCGAAGCCGCGGCTTGAAGCCGTTGTAGGCGGTCTTGTAGTCTCTATAGGGTGTTGTATGAATGTTATACAAAATGTTCGAACAAAAATGGCGTGGATGAGCAGGTGTACGAAGATGTGACCCGGGAATGCAGCCGTGCTTACGCAAACTTGTACCCTAGCGGTCCGAGACGGCAGAGCGCGAGTACGACGCCTGTGCAGGCATGTAGGACCGTCCGGTGTGTGTCTTTGTGCGCGTCGTGTGCGCGTGGGGCCGTGAGTGTCGCGCGGGGACTCTGAAGAGGGGTAGTGAGCACGCATATGTCGCTCTCCGAGTCGACAGTGTGTCTACCATCCGGGATGCGGGCTGCATGCCCGACGTATGTGCTCGATCCGTCGTCGGGTGTCGCAGCCGTTCACCGGCCATGCGCATCGCGAGTCCCCGGCGGCGGCGGGCCCCCGAGGAGCTTCTCCGTACGGCCCCGCCGATCGCCTCGATGTCTTCGGGGACCCACGAAAGTGCACGCTCGCTGTCGATCGGCGGATGTTTCGCGGCACGTCGGTAAGCACGTTCGTAGACGCGTCTTTGCGTCCCGCGCGATCCGTGTGCGTGTGCGTGGCCGAAAACGTCGTCACTGCGCTCACACAGAGGTCAATTGCGAATGCTGTAATGGAGATACACAAGAGGCGAATGAGCGCGTAGCCGAGCGGGCACTCGAAACACATACCGGAAGTCTACGGCATCGACGCGGCCGGCGCGGGAGTGATGCTGAATGTGTATACGCTTTTGGCGGGGTGCCGCGCCGGGGCGTGCGCCCTAAAGTCTCGCATGGAGTTGAAGGGACGGGCGAGGCAGCGCGAGGCCGCTGTTTCGAGTGTCCGCGCGTGCGTCGACATGGCGGTGTCACTCTGAGGCGACGCAGGATGTACCAGGTAAGCTCTCGGACGCACATTTGAGACGAACCTGACTTACTCGGCAGCATGTATGCGCGAGATACCCGCCAAAATGCGCGGCAGAGACTCGAGGTGCTCGCAATGATAGTGGAGGGGGCGCCCCCGGGGCGCATGCAGAACGCGCAGACGGTGGCGGAATGAGCGCGGGAGGCGAGGACTTGCCGTTTTCCAGGACTGCAGTGAGAGGAGGCGCCCCGCCGGGTGCAGAACACGCAGACGACGGCGGGATCGCAGGGGGGAGGCGAGTGCGGGCGGCCAAGACTTGCCGTTTTTCACGACTGCGGAGAGCTGGAAACGCCCGCAACGCCGTCTAACGAGCCGGCTAGAGAGAGGACTAGCAAGGAGAGCGAGAGAGTGCGATGTTTGCATTTCGATGGTGGTCTGCACCGAGCGGCGGTCGAAGCGAGTCCACCCAGAGAGTCCGACTTGCACGCAAAAAGCAGCGCTGAACCTGAGCTCGCCGGCCCAGTACCAGACCCACTCCCCAGCCAGAGTAAGCGGGCGAGAGGAGAAGCGAGGGCCAGAGAGCCAGACGACGCGGAGGAAAAGAGAGAGAGAGAGCCCGGTGCCTGCAGCTCCGACCTGCGCGGACCGCGACGCGTGACGTCACCCGTGGCTGTCACCCACTGCCGTACGTTCGCCCGACTCGCTCACTCACTCACTCCCTCACTCGCTCGCGCTGACGCGCTCGCTCCTCGCACTCGCCCACACCGACTACTCGCAGCAGCTCTAGTGCGATGTTTTCTTCCTATCTCACCGCTTCCCGTCGTCTGTCTCCTCGTCGGCCTCATCCTCCTTCGTCGCCAACAACCACTCCCGCCGCGTCCACGCCCCCCTCGTCGTCCTCACCGTCCTCCGCCTGCCGTCCTCACGCCCCTCATGTCCGAAATTCGCAGGAAGCTCGTCATCGTCGGTGATGGTGCTTGCGGAAAGGTGCGCTCCATTCAACCACAATCGTACCACTTCCCTCACAGCTCACTCACAACTCACTCTGCGCTCCCTAGACCTGTCTTTTGATCGTCTTCTCCAAGGGAACCTTCCCCGAGGTCAGTGGTCCACCTCTTAATTGTCGCGTTGCCCGCGCGCACCTGCAGACGTGGCGATGATCGCGTGCGTTCCCTGGCGCTAACAATCACCACAGGTTTACGTCCCCACCGTCTTCGAGAACTACGTCGCCGATGTAGAGGTCGATGGCAAGCACGTCGAGCTCGCCCTCTGGGATACCGCCGGCCAGGAGGACTACGATCGTCTCCGCCCCCTGTCCTACCCCGACTCCCACGTCATCCTCATCTGCTTCGCCGTGGACTCGCCCGATTCGCTTGACAACGTACAGGAGAAGGTCTGTCTTGCACCTCGATGACATATGCGT